CCCATCTCCCACCATTCACTGCGGGCCTCTCTCCCTCCCTGCTCCCCCAGCATGCATTGCGTGAGGAAGGCGGGGACGCCCGCCTCCCAAGCTGCCCCGCGCCGCGATCCCGGCGTGCTTCGCGCGCGGCCCCGAAGGGACTACATGTCCCGTGAGCCTCCGCGGCATGGAGCTGCGCGCGGCGCGGGCGGAGCGCTCGCTGCGCGACTCCTTGTGCGCCTTCGGCTTCGAGCTGCATCCCCTCCAGGTTCGAGGGGGGGGGCTGGGGGCTCGGGGGGACGTCACGGGGCCCCGCCGTGTGACGTCACCTGGGTGGTCTCCTCACTCTCCAGGAGCTCGCTAAAACACCTGTGGGCGCTCGCGTGTTTCCGGTCCGCGGGTCCCTGCTCACGTGGCTGCAGCCGGTTTCCACGGAGATGGCGGCGTGGCCGTGAGGGTGGAGCCAGGGTTTCCGTGGAGACGGGCCCCAGCCACGCTGGCAGGGTGGAAGCAAAGGCGCGCGATGTCGGAGACTTTCTAGGAATCGGAGGCATGCTCACGGGCAGCGGAAACGCCACTTCCCTCCTCGCTCCGCTTGCTGGGCGGGAGTAGTACCTCTGTGGTTTGTCGTTAACCTCCTGCTTTCTCTTCCGGCGGGAAGATCTCGGCGTTACGCCCCCCGCTTGACGGAAATGGGAGACCCGTGGCCGTGCGGCCGAGGGCGAGCGAAACCCGGGGGCATCCGAACCCCGAGCCGCCGGGCTGGGGTCTCCCGCCGAAGGATTTGGGAGCGTCTGAAGCCCCGGGGGGCGGGGGTGGAGGAGGCATGCTGGTGGCAGGGCGGGCTGGACCCGACCATCTCATGAGATCCCTTCCAGCCCCTAACGTCTATGAAATCTATGAACGTTTAATCTGTGCGCACGAGCGAGTAGTTCCTTCTGGATTACGTTGCACCGGGCAGGAAATCCACGCGTGATTCGCACTCGCCGTCCCTTGCGTTGTTGTCGCTGGTCGCCGTTTCTGCTGGCACGGCTTGCGGCCGGGTGGGAAGGTGACGTGGTCAGTCTCCTTCGGCGTTGGCGTTAAGGCCTCCCTACAAGGAGCCTGCTCCTGCAAAGTGCTGGGTGCCTCCCCTCTCTTTAATTTTACCGTGTGGTATTAGCGTCTCCTCGGAGGACGTCTGTCGGCTCAAGGAGGGCATCTCCGCCCTTCCAGATGGCTCCCGAAAGCTGCTGCGCTGTTCTATGGGCTGTGCCATTTTCTTCGTAGCCATTGAAGCTGGGAAAGTGTTTTTTAGTAAAGGTGGAAGGAAAGGTATTCCCCGGGTACTGAAACGGCGAGTGCAGAAGGCAAGGAAGAGAGAAACGTCCGGCTGAAAAAAGTCAGCAGAGGAGTTGACTGGGCCGCGGCCAGCGTAGGGTAAAAAGAGGAGGAAAGATTGTTCCCTTTCACAGACAAGCTGCACGAGATGACGCTGAACAAATAATTGGCTTCTGTTGGGGTAAACATTGCAGTTGGACTTGGAAGTTAAATATTGACGCCTGTCCAGTATCAGACTGCCTTCCAAGTGAAGGTTTTATTGATGTGAGGTTGAACTGTTAAACAAGGCAAAGGGAAAACCAGGATTTTCTTCAAGAGTCAGTAGATCCTGATTATACAAAGTCATTATGCGTCCTGTTGTGCACTTGAATGCCCTCCTCTGTTGTGCAAATTAAACTCTTTGTAAGCTAACATTTTAAAGATATATTAAGTTAGTTGACAGGGAAGAAAAAAAAAAAGTAGACTTGCTGGCTGCAGACAAGCTGATTGCTTGGGGAAATCTTCTTTGACTTGCACCTTGAGCTAATGAAAGCTGCTGAGCGCTGAAGCAGAATAAAGAAAGAATGTCCCAATGGTATTTTTAGAGCCATTTTTCCAGCTCTGAGTCGCTTCTGCTAAACTGTATGTTGTCATCCTCAGAGAGCTGGCTGACTTTTTGGAGGGAGCTATTTGCATGTGTTCGGGTCATCTGTCACAGAATCACAGACAAGGGGGGTGGGAAGAGACCTCAGGAGCTCACATCTAGTCCAAAGCAGAGCCAGCCCCAGCTGCATCATCCCAGCAGGGCTTTATCAAGCTGGGCCTTAAAAACCTCCAAGGACAACCTCTCTGGGTGACCCGTGCCACCTGACTGATTTGTGCCTCGGTTTGTTGTTCACAAAGTGTCAGTGGGGGTTACTTTCTTGCCTGTGTGGTTGCAAAGGCTAATGTTTGCTAATGATCACAGGATCGTTAGCTGCTCCAGGTGTTTACCATTTGAGGTCTAGCTCACGCCGGGTGCCCTTGAGAGGTGCTCCGCCTCCTTCCTGTGCAGTGGCTGCAGCAAGGCGACTTGCGTGCAGGGACTACACCTGGACCCAGTACCGTATCCAATAATCACCGTGGAAAGACTTCATTTGATTGCAGTGGCCACTGGTGGAGGTCTGTGGGAGCAGGCCCACAGCTGTGGGGAGACGGTAGGTGGCGCTGCCTTCCAGATGTTCAGGTTAGGCTTTTAGATTAGAAAAATCTGTTCCTTCCCTTTCCCCACCATTAGTGGAAAGGGAGTATGCACACCCATAAACGTAAGTCCATACCTTTGCACAGCATAGCAGCATTTTGGGGAACCCAGACCCTCACCTCTAAATCCCACAGTGTTTTGCATGGCTCCTTGCAGCTCGGAGTAGTGATTTGCCGCTTGAAACCAAGGAATGCTTATAGATAGGGACTCCCTTCAATCACAGTTTTGTGATTGTCATGGAAAACAGTGGTTTCCATGATCACCGTGAAAAACCGTGTTTCCCGTGATTTTGTGCAGAATCGCCTGAAAAAGATAAAAGCTTACTGGGATACAAGGAAAGTGCGGCAATCCCTGCAGCTGTAGAGCGTGTGAGAGGCTGAGCTAGCGACATAGACTCAATGAAGGCGCCAAAGTGTTATGGCGCCGTCTTTTAAGACGCTAGATAATCATAATATGCTTAGATTTAGATGTAATACTTAGATTTATAATAATGTGGCAATATATTTGATATTTCCATGGACTTTGCTATTTAATTATGCTGTAGTTTTTGCCACTTGGCAGCAAGGAGCAGGGCCGCTGGGGCTCCTTAGCCAATTGACAGTGAGGGAGGGGGCTCACCGCAAAAATTGGCTCCGCGCGCAAATCCCTGTGTGATTTTTGGTAGGTCCTTACCCACAGAGAAGCATGGTGCACAGCTTGCAATGCAGGTAATGATGGTCCTTGCTAAGGAAACAGTCCAGACAGGCAAGGTGTTAAACTAGATCAAGCCTAATAACGATGCGCGTATGACGACACAGCACAGATCAACCAAAGATTTAAACCAAGGCCCTGCTCTGATTTTGGGTTCAGTGTCTAGCAGTCTCCGGCCCACTGGAAGTCAGTCAAATTATTCCAGATTGGTACCAATGTAACTGAGAGCAGAGTCTCAGCCTACATGTTTCTAATCAGTTTCTAAAATTTAATATCTGAATATGAAACCATCTAGAAAATTTAAGTGGAGATTCATTTTTCTAATACTAAGTTGAATGTTGATTACCTCAATCAGCCCGGATACTGGATCAGTAGGAAAAAAATCATCTGGCTGTTTAGTGCCCTAATTCTGTTCACTTTGGGTTCTTTAGTGGTTAATTCTGTATCAGAAATTAAGGCTTCATTACTCGTTTTAATCTGCAATTGTTATGCAGGTCAGGTTATAAGATCAGCATTGACCTCAAGTAGGAGTGGAGAATGGGGAAAGGAAGAACAATTTTTTTAAAACATTTTAGTATAGTCTGAGTTGATTCTTGGGGAAGAAATCAAGCTTAATCTTTATATTTAGCAAACTAAATCTTGCTGCCTTTCCTGATTTGTCACAGCATCTAATCTTCATTCAGTGAAAACGCAAAGGAAACAGGTTTTGTTTAGAAGCAATCATTCTAGTATTGCAAGCAAAATCTGGTATACTTTCCATTTTCCCCAAGTAGGCTGTAACTACCCGGAGAAAATGTTATCATTATGGCTTTTCTGTAAGATGCAGCTCTCATGCAGCTGTTGGTAGTTTATTGACTACTGATTTCCCAGTGGGCATCAAACCTTAGATTAAAATCTTTCTATTCATTCTTCTAATATCACCATCTTGAAAACATCCCTGTGTCTGAGTCGACTTCCTGGGCCTGAGCTTGTAAAGAGGCTGCTTTACTGCCACTTCATTTCCTTTCCGGGTCCTGATCCAGCATGTTGCTGGGCACCTTCCACGCCTTTAAAGTGACTTTCAAATTGGCTTCACCTGTCCTTGAAGGTGGTCAGACCCTGCCACTTCAGACCCTTAAGAAAGCATTTATCTCCAAAACCGCTGGATTTAATTTTGCATGTTAGCCATGACCTCTGCGACACGCCAAGAGGCAGAGCTGGAAGCAGCTGCTGGGTCACAGTGGTCCATAAAAAAAGAGTCATTTGGGAAGCCAGGTGAGGGTACTGTTTTCAGAGTAGCTATAAATTACCTTGCTATGCTCAGCACTTCTTGGGCTGAGTCCCTCGTGTCTCCTTGCTGTCTTGGCCTGTTCTGCCTCCTAATTTCTGACCCTGCAACTGCGCTGCATTATGATGTGTCCAGCGCCAGAGGGAAATCCTGAATCTAGCTGTGTCATAATCCGTGTGATGCACCTGATGTTCCGCTCGGGGATAAACGTGCCGCTGAGCATGTAGCACCACTTACATCCACAAATTAATATTTAAACTCAAAAAGCAAAGCATGCAACCTATCAAGTGACTGAAGAGCTGCTTACTCCTTTTCAGTGGGGGCAGAGTGGCTGTCACCCTGCCCATTTTGTCCTTGTAAAAAAAACCAAAAGTGGCCATCCCTCAATAACAGGGATGGCCTAAAAGAAAGCAAGGATCAACCAAACAGCTAACAAAACGGAGAGGAGAGTGGATTTGCAATTGTCTGCACAATGGATCCAGAGGAGACACCAGGCCTAGTTTCTAGGGTCAGAAGGGACCTGAACAGATCATCAAGTCTGACCCCCTGCCCTGGGCAGGAACCAGTGCTGGGATCATAATACCCCAGCCGGAAATGTATCCAACCTCCTCTTGAAGACAAATCATGCAATGGCATGAATCATGCAGTCATAGAAATTAGGGTGGGAAGGGACCTCAGGAGTCGCATCTAGTCCACAGGACCAGCCCCAGCTACATCATCCCAGCCAAGGCTTGGTCTACCTGGGTTTTGAAAACCTCCAAGTCTGGAGCTTCTACCACCTCTCTGGAAAACCTGCTCCAGCGCTTCACCACCCTCCTAGTGAGAAAATTCCTCCTAATATCCAACCTCAACTTCCCTTGCTGCAGCCTGAGCCCATTGCTCCTTGTCCTGTCCTCTGCCCCCACTGAGAACAGCCCAGCTCCGTCCTCTTTGCAACACCCCTGCAAGGAATTGAAGGCTGCTATATTCAATCCCCCTCAGTCTTCTCTTCTCCAGACTAAATAAGCCCAGTCCCCTCAAACTCCACAAAGTGCCAATTGCTCCAAAAAAAACCCCTCAAGGGAGCAAGGGAAATCCTGCTAGAAAAGCTTTGCCCTGACATTTGAATGTCAAAATAGGTTTGACAGTCTCGGAGAACACCCCCACTCAGCTTCCTGCTGCAGTAGTGGGAGGGATCTTGAAACCCTCGATTTCTTGGCATGCCGGCTTCTTGTTTGTACGGGCTCATTATATACAGTACACTGTCCTATGGGAGAAGCAGACTTTGAGCACTGCAGCTCACTATTTTAATTTGTAATAACCTGTGTTACCGGTATGGAGCCTAGCGTCATCTCTTTCAATTGTTCTTTGAGTGAATCTGATATCTTTTATTATCCCTTCCAATTCGCGTTTGTCAGGGGTGCTATCGTAGGACCACAGTGTTGTTGAAGCCATCTGGGGAATATGCAGGGAGCAAGGTTTGTTTGGTATCTTTTATTAGACCAGCTGCGTAACTGGAAGAGATGTTAGACAAGCTTTCAGCGCAGAGTGCCCTTCCTCAGATCTGGGAAAGAAGGGGTATTCTGGACATACTTGATACCGTGTGCTGGATAAATTCTCGAGATTCCTTCCAGCCTTACATTAATATGCAGTATCAACAGCCCAAGCCTTGCCCCGAGCAATAAATAACTGAGGGCAAAGGAGAAGCAGAGGAGGCACATTTGACATGCAGAATAAATCGCATCTAAATCAAACATCTGATTTGCATCGGCAGGACTGCTGGCTGCGTGCTAGTTTCGAGGTCAGGACTGGCCAAAGTGCAGTATCAAGCAGCTTAAGGCCCTCCTTACCTTTCACGTAGAAGTGCAGCTTATAGAGAGTGTAGATCCCTGCACGCGGTGTGCCATCTTGATTGAATGGTGCATTTTGCAGCTGGCAGACTGCACGGCTGAATTGTCAATGAAGGCAGCTGCAGCCTCCTCCATTTTATGATTCCTGCTGCCGGCACAATGTTGGTGCTGCTCTCCTAACGGAGGGTTTTTTTCTGGGTTCACTGCAGGTTGGATGGTACAACGCTGTTCTTCAGCCGCCCTTTCACCTGGCCTACCCAGACAACACCCTGGCTTTCGTTGTCCTCAGCACACCTTCCATGTTTGACAAAGCCTTCAAACCCTTTGTGAACAAACAGCTGCTGAAAAGGATCCGGGATCCAGTGGACCAGTGCATTTCTCATCACTTATCACTTGTGAAAGAGGTAAAAGCCTTTTAAAGACAATTTCCCCTTGCTAAAACATGGACCAAGTGGGTAAAGCAGGGAGCTGGCAACAACTCTTGGGAAGTCTTTTACCCTCTCTTAGTTTCTTAACCTGTAAAGTGGTGGTATCGATGGGGTGGTGGTGCCTGGATTTGTCTCATCAAATTCTTTTCATGATTGGAAAGCAGTCACGTAAGCTCAAAGTATTGTTCCCAATGCTAATTTACTATTTGGAGCGGCTGCATCAGTGCAGCTCCAGAACGCAGGGGGTTTACACCGCCACTGCTCACCACCTGCCCCGATGAAACATTAACTGTTGGGGAAGTGGGGCAAAAAGGGGAGAGGGGGACAACCAGCAGCGGTGCTAAGCCCTGGGGCTCGAGCTGCCCCGATGCAGCAGCTGCAGGGGGTTAGCCCTGTGACTTCGGGTCACCTGGCCCAGAAGAAGCTCTGTGGTCTGGATCCAGTCTGTGAGAAACCCCACAGTCTGGATCCAGCCCGCAAGGCCAAATAAATGTAACTCTTCCCCATTGAGAGTATCCATAAGGGCTCGACTTCCTTTTCTCTCTCCTGTTATGCTGGCCTTTAGGGGTTTATCCCAGATGGGATTGTCTCAGGCTTTGACTAGTGTGGGGACAGTTATTTATATACAGCACCTTCAGTGACAATTAACTGAAATTCACCCAATTGCCCTGGTAGAAAAAGGGTTATCTCAGTACTTCACAGCGTATTTTTATTCTGTATTCCTACAAATATGCAAGGCTTTGCCCTGGGGGAAATCTAGTGTCTGTGTTTTAGCCTAGGTGCACATGGTACAAACTAAAAAATACAGGGCCTTGAGCATGCTCTTTCCAGTCATTCTGGCCTTGCGTTTTTCTTCCAGCACTTCCCTGACGAGAAGGTGCATATCTTTTATGACTATGAGATGTTGCCAAACCGGAAACCCAAGTTTCTGGCACAGACAGCTGCCCACGTGTCTGGAGCAGCATATTATTACCAGAGGAAGGACGTGAAGTGTGATCCCTGGGGAGAAAAGGTGAGCTACAAGCCAAAACCCAAGGGTCCCTCAAGAGCCACTTGGGTAGTGGGAATGTAAAAACATTGTTTACTCACTGGTTCCTTCTCTTGGAAATTAAATGCTTAAATCCGAATAAGGCGAAAGCACAGGCAGATGTAGCATAGGGACCAATTCTGGCTGAGGCAGAGAAAAAAGGATGAGAAAACAAAACAGAACCTTTCCATTTCCATGAGAGAGATCTGGCAATCCTTGCCTAAGCAAAACTAGCACTGTGATCAGTTTTTTATTTAGAAAGAAGAGATTACCCTTCCTAAACACTGTGTTGGGGTTGATTTACCGCAGGGGAGGGGCACAGGCAATGAGGGATCAAAGCAAATTCTTTGGAGCATAACAGCAAGAAGGAATTTGCTTTTCTTGCTTTTACTGTACCATATCAATTGGCCAGGCCTGCACATGGTTCCCTCAAATCTATCTGTGTTCAGAGGCAGGGCAATGTTTAGAAATAGTAACATGTACCAGTTCTTCTCTCTCTTTCAGAAGATCTATGGTGTGTGTATACATCCCCAGTATGGAGGCTGGTTTGCTATCCGGGCTATCCTCATATTTCCAGAAATTCAGGTGCCGTTCCTGGAGCAGTATGCCCCTGTCGACTGTGTGACCACAGAGGAGAGAAGAATACAGTTGCTGGAGAAATTCAATTTCCACTGGCAGGACTGGAGCTACAGGGATATCATTGAAGTGAAGGAACGATACTCAGAGGAGCAGAAAACCTACTTTGCAACCCCTCCAGCAGAGCGTTTCAAACTGTTGGGGCTACAAGGAGGAATGCAAAGAAGTGAATTTTACTGAGTTACACGGTTCAGTGTACGAGGCAGGGAGTGAGCAAAGTGCAGCTCGCAAGCCCCATAACCCTTTTTCGTAGCTGTGAAAAGGGGATTTGATGGTACAGGGATGACACCCCCCAGCAGCATACGCTGCAGCTCAATCCAAAAGCTGCCCTTTCAGGTCAAAATGGAGCATTGCATGCCAGGGTTTGTCATCTGACTATACGTAATCAGGAAGGTAGCTGCAAGTCTGCTCCGGGTTATTGCTATTTACAAGCGTATCCTTCTGGACCCTGGTAAGGTATCGCCTGGCTTTCATTTGGGCAGAGTTTAGGTGCCCTCGAGGCTGGGACATTTATGCTGCTGTTTGGAAAGACTGACTATTTTTGATCTGGGGAGACCTTTTTATTTTATTTTATTTTATTTTATTTTATTTAATAGTAAGGAATTATTTAATTTTCAAAAACCTGAATGTAAAGCAGTTCGTCTCTGGATGAACTCAGGGCAGATTTTTTTTCCAAACGTATATCTAGCACTTTTACTGCCCTGGGAGATTATATCACAGGGTAAATTGTTTTAAAGGGCATGCACCTTGAAATCTAGTCCAGAAATTTAACTTAAGCTAGTTTGATTGTGAACGGACCCTGTTTTTTGTCTTGGCAGAGCTAGATGCCATGCTTTCGTACAGCTAGAGGGCTTTGGTCTTTTCCTGTGTCAGGAAGCGCACACACGCACACGCAGTGAGCAAGCTCTCTGGCTGAATGCATCTGTAAGTCAATATATATGCTGTCCCATGTACAGAGTAATAAGCAAGCCAAGAGAAGAAGAGTTTGTACCTCTCTGGTTCTCCTGTTATACTTGCATCCTTGCACATAGCATTTGGAGACAGAACTGTACCTTCATTTTTATTTTTTTTTTAAATGGCTGTCCCGTGAAATTGAATTATGCTTAAAGGAGCACGGGAAATGGGAGATTAATATAAATTTATACTAAAGCTATAAGTGAAACCAATCTCTATACACTAAGCCAGGGGTTCCCAACCTTTTTATACTGCGGACCAAAAATGACCGTGGACTGGCAAACTCCAGACCAGCAGTGACCAGCATACGACGGGCTGGCAGCCAACTCTGTTTTATACTCAGTTGGCTGCCGATCTGCAGTGTGTTGGTCACTTCCGGTCCAGCAGTACTGGATTCTGGCCCGGGGGTTGGGAACCCCTGCACTAAGCTAATAATTTAAAGTTATAACTTGAAGGTTTCCAATCCTGTAAAGCATCAAGCACTGGGTCTCTCATTTGTAATTTATGCTGTAGTTTTACATCATTTATGTGGAACTAGACATTAAGGTAGACTTTGCTGTAAGAATTTGATTGTTAGAAATTCAGCAAAGTTAATTGTAACCTAATCTTAACAGGTTGGCACATACTAGCTAGGCTGATTCATCCATTTCTTCGCAACCTTCTATGTGTGCACAGCTCGTCTTGTTTCAGTCAGTCCTGTTCATCAGACCCTAGCACCCTCTCCACTGCCAGGGTAAGAACAGCTGGCTCTTAAGTTATTTTAACTTTTTTAGCATCTGCCTCCCCAAAGTCCTCTCACAGCATTGGTTGGCAAGTTTTGTTGCTTCTCTGTCCTTTTTTCACACTGCTTAGATCACTAAAGAGCTCCTAAAAGATGAGGGTTCACACCGATGGGTCTACTGAGCATATCGCACCCTGTAACAAACTGAATCCTTGCTCATACTCAAGGAAAGAACTACAAAGGGCATCAGTGGGGTTGATGCAATGAAGGATCTTACCATGAGTAATGAAGAATATTACCATGCAACACCATGAGATTGCATAGCCTAAATAGAGCGTAGTATTGCAAGCCAGGAATTCCCACATACTAGATACAGTCTTCCAGCATCTTGCCTGTGCCATCCTGCCCTGCCATCTCTCCTGTGTACTTTTAAACAAGTCACTCTAACATGCTGTTCTGTCTTCCCCAGCTGCAAATTTGGAAAACACTCAAGGTTTTGGGTTTTTTTCCAAGGCAAGTGTCCTCCTTCTGCACCAAAAAATATTATCACAGACTCTTGAAATGGAGCCAACAGCCTTTGATATGCACAGTAAAATCTAAAGTATGGATTTTAGCAGCACGCCTCCAAAGCTGCTGCTAAGATTCCTTGCACTAGGACTGGTTGTTAAAACTCTAATTTCTATGAAATTAAGTGGTACTTAAGACTGGAATTTCAGTCTTCATCAGTTTTGTTCACATTCTCTTGCTGAGATCACCTGAGCCATTATTTACCTTGTCTTCTGCCTTAGTCCCTTTCCCTCTTTAGCTTTCGAAGAGGGAAAACAAGAACACTTTTTTCATTTGAGATGTGGTCTGGTGGATATAGCAGAGTGTCTGGAGATGTACTTACTGGTGCATTTCAAGAGGAGACTAGATGCAGCTGAAAATCATTGTGCACAATATGGGTTACAGCATGAATATATTTGCATATGTGCATAGGCAGATACAGGATTTTGTGGGAGCAGTGACCAGCATTGCATGGGTGGCTGGTAGCCCCCTAGCCTCTAGCCTCCCCACCAGGGCAGGCAGACCACACTGCAGAAGCAGCATCCAGGGATTTTTTTTTAAGTCCTTGACCAGGTAAGGATCCCCCTTCTCAGCATCCCTGTCCTTCCTCTCCATACTCAGCAGCAGCCCAGCCCTGCCCCTCCCATTGCCCCCTCCTCTGCTTCCGCTGCACCTGGCTGACCCCAGGGGTAAGGAGAGCCCTGAAGTCCTCAGCAGCAAGAGGCAGGGGAGGGAGAGGAGAGGGAAGGTGCTGCTGAGAATGAAAGGCAAGGGACCAGCGTGGAAAGTGCCTGGCTGTTTCTTCCCATGGCATGGTCCAAAACGTGTGGTGGCACAGCTGCCACCCGCACTCTAGAGCTGCCCCTATGTATGTAACATGCATTAGGTGACAACTTACTGTGCGGTACTGGAATTTTTTTTAGTATTTCAATTTGAAAGTTTTATTTTGGAATTATTTCTGGTTACACTGTTACCGTGGTCCTTTTTTTTCTTAACTGATGTAGAATTGAAATGGAGTTTACTAAAAGTTTGTACTAAAGGATCCATATTGGTACCAAGATCAATGTCCTGGAATACTGTCATGTAGAAAGAAATTGTACTGAATTTACAACTTTTTTATCAGTGTTTGACTTTATAAATGTTAAATATTTTGTGTTGAAATTCACTCATTAAACAGTTAAGACCACTGTTACAATTTTGATGATGCCTTTTGTAATGTATTTATTTTCACATTTTATTTTGGGTAATGAAAGTAAAATACTGAGTGAACTTTTGTTTAAATAACATAACAGTTTAATTTTGGGAGAACCTGAGATGTTGAATATGCACCAGATGCACAGAAGTAAACCATATTGGATAGCAAGGGAAAGTAAATGTTAGAATTGCAGATGTGTGACAGCAGGCATGATCAGATTTGATTCTGGGATGAGTATACTTTCTTTTGTAATTATCTCTTGCCAAGTTGCTTATGTACCAAGAGACTAACATGACGGCACACAATAAAAGGACTTGACAACGAATATCTTGTGTTTGGCAGTTTGTCTAACTCTATCCCAAGTACATAGTTAGTCCCATAAAAGATATCACCTTAAGAAATCCTTGCCTTTCACAGTAAAAGAACAGGAATGTTTTTTAGATAGTATAATATTCTAGAATTTAGCAATAAACATGAAAGCCTACAGTGCCCCGTATGGTATCATTGATATTTTAGGATTTTTCTTCAGTAGCTTTACTGTAACGCTGGAATTCTGCAAATCTTTAATTACTGCAGTTATGGTTTGCTAAGCTATTTTCGTTGACACCTGACCTGATGTTTTGCTTAGTGCCATAGCAGCAAATCCTGAGAAGTGCTGAGCACCTGTAACTCCTCCTGTTGATGTAAGTGAGATGTGTAGGTCCTCCTGATCTCTTAGCAATTGCTTTCTAATAGTCTAGCATATCAAAAACCTGAGAGCAGAATGACTTCCGAATGCATGCTGCTCATTTTTGTGATAATCATGGAAGGGGTCTCCGGGGAAGTGTGATGCAGTGCATTTTACCTGATTTTTACTCTCTGACTTCAAAGGATTGATCTTCATGTGTTTTGGGTTTTTTTTGTATGGGCAATTCATATCGTGTCACGGTTGTATTAGTTCACTTCCCCACCCTGCCAAGTAAAAGTACATGACAGTCATACAAAAGTTTATATATCATGCATTAACTAAACCAGAATGAACAGTAACACTGCTGCATTTTAACTTTTTTAATGTGTACTGTTTCATAGCACCTTGCCTTGCTAAATGTTCAGTGCAGTACATTTTTTCACGCCAGTCTGTGTACATTGGACACTGATTTTTTTTTTTTTTGATTTTTTTTTTTTGGGGGGGGGGGTGGTTGTTTTAAACTAGCTGTTTTGAATTTAAATTCTTCCTTAATTTGAGGGGGGGAAAGTCTTTTCAGTCTATTCCAGATAGCCAAAATAACCCTTATGAACTAACTGAATTCACAGTATTTGTACATTAACAGAATAAAAAATTAATTCTCATTTTTTTTTTCTTTCTATTATTTTAAAGAAAAAGGTGCAGGTTTTATATTAGAATTCAATAAACTATGCAATAATTCATTATCATATTATAGACACTATATCTGGTAACAACTATCAGGCATAATATTAAGAAAGGAACTGGAATGAATGAGGACCTGATCCTTTTCTTACCCAGGCCAAGGAGGCCCCCTGAGGCAAATGGTATTTTATGGGAGTGGGCCAAGGGGGTAGAGAGTTGCAGGGACATTACCTATTCTCTAATTGGTGCAAAATACATATATACCTAGCTATTGTTTAGTTGTACAATACTCTATGTGTTAAAATACTGATTTAAAAGAGCAGAAATGGGTATAGGGGAGAGTTTTGTTTGTCAGTAGTCAGACACAGAAGTAAACTACCAGTTGGCAGAGTCCTGCCATCAATAGGCGATTTCCCCCTGCCCCCAGCCCTTAATGAAGAAAGGATTTAATTCATTTTAAGTGATGTTATAAGGATTTAATGAAAACAGAGCAACTGTCCATCCTTTTTTTGACGTTTCTTATTTGATATCCCAGATCCTCCGTTGATGCACTTTGTTCTGTTTCTGTACTAGGAAGCGACGTTCCTCCGTGGTCTCTTGGTCGGTGTGGCTCTCTGTGTACGAGCGCTCTGCCAGGGTGTGCACTGCTCCAAAAGAAAGGCCACACGGGTTGGTTCGGTAGCAAAAGCTCAGCCAGGTTTATACCTAGGCAGCACAACATCACTGGCGCACCTGTCCAAAGAGGTGGATGCGGGTGGTGAGGCACAGGCACCACTTGCCACGGCGTGCCGCCCCTAGGCCTGCTACGTTGCAAAGCTCTCCAGACCTCTTATGCATGAAAAAGCAGTTCTATTTACATGACAAACACTGACACCTCTCCCACATTACCCCCATCCTTTGTCATCATCAGGTACCTTGTAGACTCGCTGGCACCAGCCTTTATTGATTTCTCCTAGCCATCAACTTTAACACCTTCACCATCAACTTAAATACTCGGTTAAATACTCTGCTGTCTGTTAGCAGGCACCCTAGTGATATGAGGTCAGCCTTTGGTGAGACCTGCTTTGGTCAACAGCTTTAGCAAAGCCTTTATGTGAGCTGAATATGCATTGATCCGTGTTTACGTTACTCCTGACTCCAGCGAGGCTGACAATAAGCATGCTAAGGATTACCTGCTGTGACATAAATGGATTATTTTTATTGTGTAGGATTTTGTGCTATAAATAAAACATGGGGAAAGCCTAATGACCCTTTTGTGTTTTACAAACTGGCCTCTCTGCACCCTGGGACTGAGCTTTCTAGAAAGACATCGAGGTTTAAATGCTGTATTTTTTTGAAAATGGGGTGTTTTGTTGAGAATGGGATGTTATTATTTGTTGAGCTGGTAGTCGACCTCTCTAGAGTAGTTGGAGCATAACATTGCTAAAACATTGGTAATAAAAGAAACGTCAATTATTTTGATGAGCCACACTTGCTTCACAGCGAGTGCAAAGAAGTGTAAAGGTGGCCCTTGGAATTGTTTTACTTTAAAAGACTTTTCATGAAAATTATTGTAATTTTTTTCATAGCTGACCTGCGTTATCTTCATTGAGTGTCATGTCAAACTTGAGATCTTGGTCCTTATCTTCAGGGGCTTAACAGCCCTAGAACCAGCATATCTGAAAGATCATGTGAGGCTTTCTGTGGTGAAGATGAGTTTCTCCTGACAGGTTATCCAGGTTGTAGCCGTATTGGTCTAGACTAGAGGCAAAAGCAATCAGAACTTGTGGTAGACGTGAGATCTTGTATGAGACCAGCTAGATCTTTGCAAAAAAAATTATTTCATCGCAAGCTTTCAGGCACAAGCGCCCTTCTTTAGGCATAGGAGAAAAGATTGTACAAGTTCTCCCGGGCAGAAACAAAAGTTCACATTTCATAGGAGAGTTGCAGGTGTGGTAAAATCCCCTGTTTGGCACCGTTCATTTTATGCGGTGTACCTCCAAGTTGTTTGGTGGCGAGCAGGATGTAGTCCTCTTTGCTTCTGGTTCTGCTGTTTCATATTTCACAGAAGAGAAAAAGGATGGACTGCTAAATTTCTTATGTAGCGAGGTGTCTCTGGGCTCTGTGATGATGCAAATGACCTCAAACAAAGGCAGGAGCAGGGCCTCAGGTTTCAGGTGGTAAAACTTGCTTCCTCCATGTAAGATTGTGAAGATTTAATTTTTAAAAATCAGCTAAAATTGAATATCATCCATGTGCCAGGTATCCAGGTTGTAGCTGTGTTGGTCTAGAGGCAAAAGGAATCAGAGCTCGTGGTTGAGGCAATATCTTTTATAAGACCAACTAGATTTTTGCAAAAGCTAAAAGAGCATTTTGTTTTGGGGTTTTTTACAAGGAAGAAATATGTCTTACCACCTGAAGCCCTGCTCCTGCCTTTGAGGTCATTTGCATCATCACAGAGCCCAGAGACACCTCGCTACGTAAGAAATTTAGCAGTCCATCCTTTTTCTCTTCTGTGAAATATGAAACGGCAGAACCAGAAGCAAAGAGGACTACATCCTGTTCTCCACAAAACACCTGCGAGGTACACCGATTATTCCAACTTTTCTCTGAGCCTAACCTGCAGAAAATGAATGGTGCCAAACAGGAGGTTTTACCACACCTGCAACTCTCCTATGAAATATGAGCTTTCATTTCTACCTGGGAGAACTTTTGCAATCTTTCTCTCTTATGCCTGATGAAGAGCCCTTGTGCCTGATAGCTTGCAATTAAGGACTTCTTGTTTTTTTGCAAAAATGTAGTTGGTCTAATATAGGATCTCACCTCTGTCACGAGTCCTGATTCCTCTTCTCTCCTGACAGAGCTTTCTTCCTGGGGCTGGACCCAGTCTGTAAAGCAAACCCCTGGGAGATCAGAGCTCTCATAAACATACCAGGTCCTGCTCCCAACCCTGCAGCACACCCTCAAGGCGCCGCCTCCACCAAAAATACAGAGCTGTGTGGACACTTCCACACCTACCAAAACCAAGTGCTGCTGCGCACAAAATTCTCCCTGTCAGGGGAGGATGAGAGAGAAAGGACCACTCCATAGCCATTCATCTCATTGGTGCATGGCTGGAAGGTGCTCAGATGCTGTGGGGGAAAAAGTAATATTAGCACCTCTGCAGGATAGAACAGAACTGGTGCTGGAGTTGGTGCAACAAACCCTAAAAATAGGCAATTGGAGTGAAATCCTAGTCCTCTGCTATTGTCCATGTGGGAATGTCTCTTTCAGTGGGATGCAGACTTGCAAATGCAATCATCGATTGGAAAGCCTGTGCCACGGGGGGATGCAGAGCAACCACAAACACAACACGACTGAATTCCCAGGGAGACTTCATGTGTCTTTGCGAGGGGCACGCCTTGTGCGTCAAGGATGGGTGGGAAAGGATCTCCCACTGAGAGTGCCTGAAATGATTCCCAGTCCCGTTGCTAAAAAGAGATATCGAATGATATAGGGGCTCACAAGTGGTGCGAGCTGCCCAAATCGCCTGCCCAGACCCAACGTGTGAGGGGAAGGGAAGATCACGGCTGCACACGGGGACTCTGAGGAAGGTCCCAGCTGCTTAGCTCCTACCCTTTTCCTCCGAGGAAAAGCGAAGGGGTTTTGAGACCAGTCCAAGAAAAGCTCCTTTGAGCTGGGAGCAGAGCAAGATGGAGTTTCTGACGGGGAAAGAGGTGGCTCGCAAAGGCCTGTCCTCTCCGCTCCCCTGAAACTCCCCTCACTCCCTCAACCAGTCTACGGAGGTGATAGGAGAGGGTCCCCCCCTTAGGGACATGGAGAGGAAATATGAGGGACCGGTGAGGAGACTCCTTCAAATTACAGATGGATAGAAACCAGCGATAAAGTTGTCACGTATTTGTAAGCACTAACTTTGTAGCTGGTTGGCTCTTCTTATAGCTGGATGGACATTTTCATGGTGTGATAATTACTGAGCATGTGTGGCCCGTCTTACTTTG